CCCTACAAATTCTTTTAGATAGATAAAGAATAGTTTTGTGCAAGCACCAACCCACGCTGAAATGTTCTTTCACCTGGGGTGTGATAAACGTTTTGTCCACATTTATATGCAGTTATTGTCTTATCTCCTTGTCTCTCTCTTTGTCTTTCACTCCCCTTCAACCCTGTCCCTCTCTCTCTCTGTAGCCTGGAGGATTAAATGTGTTTAATTAAGAGGTGATTATGTGTAGACGGCTGACACAGCACAATCAGGAGGCTTCATCCCACTGCCCTAACTAACGTTACCCTGCACCCCCATTCATCTCCCAGACGAGCATGTCCTCCTTCCTGCCTTGTTTATCCCATATTTCACACACACACACACACACACACACACACACACACACACACACACACACAATATGAACAACCAAAAAAATCCTTCCATACATACATACATACATACATAAGGCTATTTAGATAATGATGTTAAAGAATATGGAAAAAACAAAGCTGAGGAGGTGAAAGGGGGGATATTACAGCAGGGGAAGTAAAGGAAGGAGTGAGGGGAAGTCCTAGGCAGCACAGCACAGGGTGAGAAAGAGGCCAAAAACCTGTTTACTGCAGCGACAGGAAGATGAAAGTAAAGAGATGAGCCTCAGCATTTTCCTTTTGTCAGTACGTGTGGTTAAATTTTGCATGTGTAAGTGTGTGCATTTGTGACGGTGTGAAATGAAAAACCTTTTTAACTATAATAATTTGTATATGAAGCAAAGCATATGGAACATTTGGTATTTTATTGGAAGGTGTTTTTTTGAGCCATGGTAATTGATCAGTAACTGACCACAAGTGATGCAAGTACTACAGAGTGATACAGGTCAGCCTGGACACTAGAAAACAACTGGACCAAAATGCTAAGCTACCAGTTTTCCTGCTGTGCATGAGGATAAGCAAAGACTCTTGTCCTTTAAAAACATGTCGCCACTCTTGTTACAAATAAGTCCTCAGGAAATATGTCCACTAATTTGCATCTCAATCTGCTGAAGAATTGCAAGGTGATAATAAGCAGTCATGTGTGTGTGTCTCAAGTGAAGGCGGGAGACAGATGGGTCACAATGTTTCCTCTGTGGGTTTGGAGCTGGAACACAGCTAATTGCGTCTTAATTAAATATGACCTGACTGTCCCTGTGCCTCCTCGCCCATGATGACACTTGCGCTTGTGTGTTTATGTGTAAGACAGAGAGACGGCAACAGAAAGTGACCTCTGTGAGTGTGTGAGGAGACATAAACTAGTGTGGAAAAGTCAATGCTGATGTGCATTTCTAAGTCTGTGCCATTTGTGTGTGTGGAATTAAGTCTTCACTGTCCCCTGAGCTCAGTAGTGATGTGTTGTGTGTGTTTGTGAGACCATTTGAGGGAATGACTGTGTGTTACAGCAGATATTAAAGCTTTGTCCCAGTCCTCTCAATTAATTCACCCCCTTGTTTCTGAGCTGCTCTTGATATGGAGAGTTGCTCTAAGACAGTGAGCCCCAGGCAGGGCATACTTGTACCTAGAACAATGCTTCTGCATTTGGAAGTTTGGGGTTTATGGAAGGACTGTGGAGTAGTTCAACTCATTTGAGCACATAGAAATTACTATTACTACAAAGCAGATTGAGCCAGCTATAACTAGTTAGCAGTGGTGTATAAACAACTGGCTAAAAGTAAATGATAAAAACTTAAAAGCTGAGAAAAACAAATTGTGAATAACTGGGGGACTTGAGTCACATGACTTCACTCGAGTCAGACTTAAGTCAGACTAATTGGAGGACTTGAGAATACTGGTAAAAAACTGACATGATATTCATGACTTGAAACTAGACTTGAAATTACTTCAATTTTTTAACAAAAATTTGCATTTTTCTAAATACCACTGACATGATATTCATGACTTGAAACTTGACTTGCTGTGACTTGAAATTTTTCTAAATACCAAGAAGTTATATTTTGTTTCTGAAACACAACTGGGTGATTTCTAGAACAATGGTATGCAAAAACAGTCTGCAGCATAAAAATCAGCGACACAAACACTACAACATTCAACGTCATCCGTCGCTACAGAACTCACAAAGAAAGGTTTGTATGTGAATGTGTACGTTACCCAACCTACTGTCTGGTTGAACATTAGCTAGAAAATCAAAGTTAAGTTTAAGCTGTTAGACCTGGCTTTGTGTTGATCACGCATTTCACTGAGAACAGTTTGATGGTCATGATAGATGTGCCTTTTTAATTTAATAGCTAAGGGTTATCTTATATCCTACAAACGCACAATTAATAATCAGAGCACATTTGTGAAGGCTTTACTTAAATGCATGATATTCCCATAACATTATCAGATCGTCAGACTGTTGACTTGTGACTTGCTTGACTTATAGTAGGGACTCGACTTGCTTGATTCTCACCACAGTAACTTGGGATTTGCTTATGACTTGCATGTGTGTGAATAAACCACTCAGAAAATGAGCTCAAATAATGAAAAAATGGTTGAAATACTGTAAACAGTGGTGCTGAAGAACAACTTATTTTTCCACTGAACCTCTGACTGCACAATTTGTAGATTTGTGATACTTTTGTTGAGCCAGTATTGTCACTAATTACACATGTACTCCGTCTGCTTGCACGCAAACTCATGTGCCAATGTGTACAGATACACAAATACACATATTTAGGACTGACTGTTGTTGGCGCGTAGTGCCCTGGCCGAGATGCCGTTGGTTCCTATGGGATGATGAACCCCGGCTCCATCCACCACTCCTGCCTCTCCTGGCTGCTTCAGAAGCTCCGTCAGAGTCCTTGAAGGAGGAGAAATCACACAAATTTACACACTTTATTAAATCGTCCTGCATACAACCTGAACACTGGACAAAAAACTTACAAGCCCTCACAAGTGTACTGATCCACACAAAGGGAGGAGGAAAAGTGTCTGTCAGCAGCTTCTGAGACAAAGGTCTGAATGGAGATGCGAAGGGGAAGGAGTTGAGTCACAGTGAGAAAGAAGCACATTCATGCAAATGGAATATGAAAATCCATTATTCAAAAAAATCCAAACAGCCTTCATCTCTGTAACTCTACCCGAGGATAAACAAGTTTAAAACAGTGTTCAAATCTATAAAAAGCAAACCCAAACAGAAAACACTTCAGGAACCAGGGATGGAAAGGGTCGATGTTTGCCAGCTGGGAGCATCAATCGTTTTAAAAAATGAAACAACTTCCGCTCTTGCCATCTTTCATTGTTTGATGCCTTTGAGGAAGTTCAGAAGCCTCCTCCAAACTGGCACACAGGCAGGAAGCAGCCTGACGTGCACATTTACCAGACAGGGGTTTAGTCTGTGTTTTGTATCAGATACAAAGTAATTTGCCAATTTTATTTTACTTCGATGTTACAGAATGTTTTGCTCAGTGATTCTCACTTAGCAAGGTTAAAAGAAATTACTGGACCAGTTAACTAAAAGCAAACCCATCTGGTGGGAATAGTTAGCTAAATGGTTAAATCGGCTAGCTAAAGCTAATGAATTATTAGCTAAAAGTAAGGGTTAAACAGTTTAAATAAATTAGCTAAAAGTAGCAATTTTATTTTACTTCGATGTTACAGAATGTTTTGCTCAGTGATTCTCACTTAGCGAAGTTAATAGCTACAAGTACTGGACAAACAGCTACTAGACAGCTAAAACAAATGAACTGACACTTTATTGAAGAGTTTGCTAAACTAACCCAGAGGAAAAGAAAATTTATAAACATTTTATTTACTAAATTTCTCTTAGACAACTATGAGGTCTGTGTGAAACCAAAATGAGACTCAGGCTTATTGCTCCCGTCTCTCTTATTCCCCTCCAAAACAAAAAGACAAAATCCCAAATTAGTCTCTTTTTAAGTTTCAAAGGAGATCTCATCAAGCTCTAAAATAATTCTCAGGTTTCCTGAACTTTGTGCCTCTTTGTGATCTGAGGCAGAGAAATCAGAGCTGTCTCTGAACTCAGCCTAAGCATCTCATGCTAAGCCCTTAGAGGGCGAAAACTACAAGCACTCACTGAACTCTCACCCAAACCTAATGGCTTTTTCCAGCATTCTCTTTATCTGATTTCCCAGCATGCTCCGCTGGGAAGACTCAAAGTTCTTCCAGCATTCATGTTCACGTATTATATTTCTTTTTGTTGTGTGTTGCAGCAGTGTACCTGTTTATTATTTCACCCTGTACTGTATTTGATTAGTCCTGTGTAGTTATTTGTACCTGCCACCCTAAGTATAACTGCTCTTGTTGCTTTTTTTGTCGTCCTGCTGGTGGCACGGTGCTTCTGGTGGCTCTACCAAACCAAAAGGATGTGGCTACAGATTGATGAACTCTGTCGCCACTTCCTACCAACCCAGTGCTGCCCACAATATAGAAACATGTCGGTATATGTGTAGTCTGAAATGTATTGTTCCATGGTTGCTTTAGCATTGCTCATTTTCTTCTCCAAAGGAGAAAAAATGAGCCATTATTAACACAGAGTAGAGTTTAGCGAGGCATCGCACTTATGTGGATTTCAGGAGAAACATATCAGAAACACATCAGACAAAATAGAAATGAAAATGATGCTGAAATGAGAATCACATTGTTTGTTTCCCGAGCTGTAGAAAAACAACCTTTGACCAGTAAAATCTTCCTCTGAGAATGGAAAAATGATTGAAAACCATGCGGTGTTGATGATGGGGTGATTGAGTTCATCAGACAGGGCTGAGGGGGATACAACTGAAAGCTCCATATGCTTTCTAACCAGAAAGAAGTCACGTCAGGCCGCACAGGCTGCTGTTAAACATCAGAAAACTAAACTAGCATAGTAAGGGAATAAGGGAAGCAGAGGCACCTTCGCTTGGAGGCTTCCTCAAGTTACTGTAATGTATTTCCTGTGCATCCAGATGTTTATAATGGCTTGTTTACCTGGCAGTCTTTTATAAATGTTAACTTATTGTGTTATGTTGGAATGAGCTTTTCTCACAGAAGTGATCAATGCTGTCAAGTGGATGCATTTTCCTGTATATTCTGAGAAAGATGGTTGAAGACAAACGATGCTCAAATGATGATTTCAGCCTGGTAATTTAAACTGTCCAAGTACATCTCATACTGTCATTTCTAACTTCTCAGCCTGGTAATTTAAACTGTCCAAGTCCATCTCATACGGTCATTTCTAACCCTAACATTTTAATTGGTTTTATAGTTTCCAGTGTTTTGCTGACACGTATAAGACTGAAAACAAGACAAGGCTGACCACCAACATGTCACCACTGACAAGAAAATTATAGCAACACAGTCAACAAATTAGCTGTGACCCCAAAGCCGCTCTCAAGAGACTCACTGATATTTCCGCACCGTTAATTTCGCTGTTGAAACAGTAAAGCAGTCGTCTTTTTATACAGCCCGCTGTGAAATGATCGCCTGTGGTCATGAGAGCAGTAAGCACCAAAACATCAGTGGAGTATAACGCAGTCCAACACAGCAGCCCTGCAACAGGCACAGAGGACTATGTACCAGTGAGAAAGAAAGGTTTCTTTTTGCATTGGTGTGATTGGTGTGATTAGTTCCCAAATGAAGGGACAAAATAAACTGGCATATTCTAGGTCACGATATAAAACATCATACTTGACCTCACGTGTATGATTCCATCTAAGTAATGCCAATATATTAAAGGGTACCTCCACCAGTTTTATGCATAAAAATCAGTTTACTTGCCATAAGTACAACCTACCCCATGCAAACAGTTGCATATTGCTCCTTTCCAGTCTGTGCAGGCGGTGCACAAATACCCTTAGTGCTCACAATAATGAGGGACACCAGCTATTAGGCTGTTTCCTACCAGTTAAAAAAATAATCCATGTTTGTATGAAATAAATAATTGTAAAAAGCTGCTATTTGTGCTTTTCCAAACACTGTTTATGTATTCGGCTCCAGGCAAACACAATACGTACAATGTGGACTGTATGTTGTTACAGAAACACACATTTTACACTGGCATTTAAATTGGCCTTTGCATTTTCTGCTTGCTAGCCAATCCATTTTCTTTCACTCCTCTCATTAATATCTGTCCACTTCCATTCTGTGACTTCATTTGTCTCCACCCCTCTTCCCCAGCTCTCAATGGTAATAAATCCAGCTACTGTATCTCCATCAGTCTGTCACCTCCTCCTCCAGCTCTGTGACTTCAGAATGTTTAACAGCCCTATTTTTGAGGACTTGTGCTTTACACTGTCTGTCTCTCCGGAACTGTTGTCTTTTTAACCACATCTGTTTTGTTTTCACAAATTTCTGCATCTGTTATCTCTTCCCTTCTTCATCATCTCTCCCTGTATTTCTTCCTCAACCCTCTGTTTCAGTCCTCTGATTCTGCTTCCCATGTGCTCTCCCGTTGTTGTGTCTGGTCTGCCTCTCACCTTTTGGCCCAGTTTCTAATTTCCCCCTCTACTTTTGCCTCTCTTCCTCCTCCTTTAGCATTCTCAGCTCCTCATCCCTCATTTTTCTTCTCCTCCCTCAGGAAACTCATATAAACTATTCCAACTGCAATATTAGTACTCCTGAAAATGATATGAGGACATCAGAGTCCACAACCAGCCCCCCACCCCCCTGGATGCTGCTGGGGTCACATGAACTCTTAGCTGTCTGCAGAGTAAGTAACCGCACAACTTATTTAGCGTTACACTGAGCTGCACGAGGCAAAGGCACAGCCAAGTGTCTAAAATGCAAATCTGCACCACTTCAGTGGGGGAGAAATTCAAATACTAAACTCCAGATGAGAATAGCATTCACCCAGTTTATATGCAGAGGGAAATCTGGCTCTTTCATGATAAGGGAGGAAGAAGCATGGTGACACGCTGCACTTCAAACCTCTAGTACAGTTACCTATGAATAAATGAGGACAGCACATGCAGAAGAGCCACACAAGTGACAAAGACAAGCTGCCATGCCTAGTTCATTCTAAAGTGATACATGTGATTAGTTTGTGTTGTTGAGGTTTTTCCAAAAATGTTAAAAAGATGTTGGAGACATCACCGGTTCAGTCAGTGAGAAACGTGGCAGGCTGTCTGACTTAAAGGGCCATTGACTGTAGACAAAGAGGAAAACTTGTCTGTGAGAAGTAGTAGAGAAGGAACCTCGATGACGTCCAGTTACCTCATATGGAAAAACTCCCTAATGTTAAATTTGCTGAACTGTTGTTTTGTTGATTGTATATATACACAAGGCCAAGGCTCATTTTCAGTAAAAATAAAAATGCCAATTATATACACAACTATTATAGTATATATACTGTAAGGCATGTGAACTGAATAATGTACACTCTCAAACAGAAATGCTGCAGCGGAGGGTTTTATTCCCATGAGCTTTGGTGGAACTTCTAGAAAACTCCAAAGAATCATCTTCTCACAGTCTGACTGGCTTAAAGCACCACATACTCAGCCGGGTCGTGACTGACACATGCTAAACACTGCAGAGTAAAAAAAAAAAAAACAAACAAACAAAAAAAAACAAAACACTGAACTTCTCCCCCAGAATTTGATATGACAAAACATATCCACTTGAAAATGCCACAGCCATGGAGCAACACATTCAGTATTTTCCAGTGAAGCAGTTTAATATGATGGTCATTGCCTCAAATTGAGTCGGCAGCATCGACCTTCATGGGAGAGTTTTGGTGCAATTAGTGACCATTTAGACATTTATAGGTAAAAACAGTTGAAACCACTGAAAACCGCTGATATTCACACAGCACAAACCTTCTGAGGGGTGAAACATGGCGATTGATTAGACTGTGACATTTCAGCA